TAACCCTCGCCCTCGCAGTGCATTTTTCATAACACGGCCTGGCAGGGGGGGGGGGGGGGGGTTGATGCGACCCCCCTCGCGATTGGCTCCTATGGCACCTAGAAACACCAAATTTGGTAGGTAGGTGGGCCCTCTGGAGTTCTCGCACCTGTGCAAATTTGGTTGCTCTAGGTCAATATTTAGGGTTTTTTTGGTGGGTATGAATTAGTGATGTCAATTACGGAAAATCAGAATACCGATACCAAACCAAATACCAACCAAAACCACGGGAAAATACCGAAACCAAACCAACTTGGGAAATTGAGGGAAATACCAATTTTTACCGATTTCTTAGCCTCTTATACATTAGTTAGGGTTTATGATACCAACAAAATACCAAACACATTACGATTGAAATACCAAATACCAAGTTGGTATCGATTTGGTATCGGTATACCAAAAAGTTGGTATCCGATTGACATCTCTAGTATGAATGTAAAAATTTCGCTAAAAACAGGTCAAAAGTTTTTCGCTTATAACTTTTGATCTAATGAAGATAGAGAAAAAAGAAAAACACCAAAGAACTCAGCACGTCAAGGCGCGTCGAATGATATACTCTTTTGTCTGCTTAAAGGGAGATAATGAGCTTTCTTTTTTCTTAAATAAAAATTACTCGACATCTAAACTATTTCTACTGTAGTTTCTATAAAATATGAAAATTTCCTAGCACATTTTCGTATGTGAAAAAGGTTTTTATTTTTGCAAAAAAGCAGTACTTGCAGTACTTGTAACACCCACCGAAATGCGTTGTCCTTCTCTATAAAAAAAAGTCGCAGTATATGGCGCTTTTGTTTCAAACAGCGACGCTTGGGTTTTTGTTTATGTTATCGCCTTGTCGTTGCTTGGTTGTAAGGATTCTAATTTGAATTAGAGTTAATTCGGTTTAGAATTAATTAGATTCTAATTCGGGGGTACATAGTGCCTACTCTTCTTTGTTTCCAAGTATTATTTTGCGCCACAAATGAACGGCATGCGCCAGAAACGCAGCTAAATCTTGCGATTGCGACTACGAAATTCATTATTTTGGCGTCAGAGCCTGAAGCGAAAAATACAAGCATATTTATTTCAAAAAGACTTCAGCTTTGTCGAACAGTGTTATGAGAATTTTGATAACAGTACTGCATAAGTTTTTCAGTGATGCCGCAAAAGTGTTGTATATATCTTCTTTTATTGTGCAGTCGGCGGGACCGATTCAAATTTGAGTCGTTGCTACTAAAACAGCAGCATATGGCGTCAGATGATGAACAGGAAAAATAGTTGCGTAAATTTAGACATAAACCACCCCCAAACCATGAATATCTTTTGAAGGCACTATAGACGACCACCCTCGCCCCGTTGGGGGGGGGGCCATTTTGGCCCCCCCCCCCCCCTGTGGTTTTTTCTGAATAGCAAGAAAACGGCGGCGCGCAGCGCCGCCAAATTTTCAGTACCTTCCCGGGCATCAATTTGACACCTTCACACCAAATTTCAAGTCTTAGGTCACCTTAGGTCAGGAGTTATTGAGGTCAAACTGAGGTCATGTTCGAGCAAAAATGAGCAAAAAACATGCAATCTTGAAACGCTCACCAAATCTACAGTTATCAAGCAATTTCAAAGTTCTTTATATGGTCTAGTAGACAAAAAGCGGCGCTACAAAACTGCTATCTCGTATTTTCAAAATTTTTGGTTTTTGACCCAAAAAAATTCAAAAAATTGATTTTTTTAGAAAAACTTTGAAAAAATCCAAAATTTTTCCGAATTTCGAAAAAAACCGGAATATATGTGATAGTCCCAGCGCTCTTCTATATACATACCAAATTTCAGATCGATATCTCTTTTTTTGGCCAAGTTATAGCGAAAAAAACTGTTCAAAAATGATGACGTCAAATTTTTGAACTCAATTTTTAGCAATTCTAGACCTCTTACGGCAAAACAAAGACCACCATTGAACTCCCCGTGACGAGCTGCATCGATTCGATACCCATTTTATGCAAAAATATTAACTTTGAAATTTGACCTAATTTGACCTGACCTTGACCTGACCTTGACCTGACCTTGACCAAAACGTGATCTAAGCTGGCCCCAAAGGCTGCCTGACCCATATAATTGCATTTGTCATGTAAAATGGACCATAAAACATGTATCACACGACACTTTCATATTGTGACCCCCCCGTGACCTGACCTCTGTGACCTGACCTGGTATCAGTGACCTCAAATAGCAAAATATGTGTTTGAAGAACATTTCCCCATCGATGATATTCAATGAAATGCATTTTACTCGATTTTACAACGCATTTCTTGAAGTGCCTGTAAACGGTGAAAATTGGACCTTTGACCTGACCTGTGACGTCATCGGTTTGACCTAGGTCAATAAAATTGGGTCACAAGGTAGTTCCCCGTTGGGGCTATCCAACGCCGTTTACCGCTTGTCGCTATGTTGCGTGGTTCTCGAGATCTTAGGGGGGGCCAAAATGCCCCCCCCCCCCAACCGGGCGCGTTGCTCGGCAGAGCCCAACGGGGCGCGGGTTAACTAACTAGATGTGATGAAGATCAAATGTAAGGAATACGCTCATTTTACAAAATTACATGCAAGTACCAAAAAGTGATGTAAGTACTTCTTCAACGGTCATTTTCAGCGCTCCCCGCTAACGTGACTTCAAGTTGAGATATTTGCGGCAAGGTACCGAATTGAGCAAAATGGTTTTAATTTACATTATAACTTGTTGTGTTTTGTCAGAAAATGGTCCTAACTCAGATTTTGTGGAAAAAGGTCATTATCTCCCTTCAAGTGTGCTTAAAGTTTTTCTTAATTTTTAAGTTAACTTTAATAAACAAATTTAGTTCAATTTAACCAAATTTGCATCATATCGCATATCATTCGATTCGGCTGCTCACCAGGAACACAATGACACCATTTTTTAAGCTCTAGCGTCATATGTGCCAAGTTATTGGCAAAAACGTCATTTGACCCTCAGTTGACCTGACCCATGGATAAGTACACCAAACAAAGAAAGAAGCACCAAGTGACCTGCTGTTAATTACTATGGTTTCAAAGCACAAAAATGATGGAACGAAGCGGATATCTCCAGTATTTTCCGAATTTAGTATTTTCCCATAGGCTTAACATTATGACGTAATGACCTCTAACTGACCTCAGGTCAGTGACATAAAAAACCCGAACTATATGTTATACAACTCGGTGAACTTAGCACATCCTGAAAGTTTGAAGGAAATCAGTCCCAATCTGTGAGTTGGACAGGTGCAAAAAGAAAATTGAAATTTGACCATAACCTTGTACCGGTTTTTCTGACCTGGTGACCTGACCCAAGGTCACCTTGAAATTTTCAGGTCATATGTAAAAAGGATGCCCCATAGGCTGTGTCAAATTTGGCGGCGCTGCGCGCCGCCATTTTTACGCTATCTTCGAAAAACCTTAGGGTGGGGGGGGGGGGGTTGCATCATCCAGGCCAGGCCAGGGCGAGGGTCAACATTAGTTTTGAGTTGGAATAGCCAAAATGGGGTCCCTGGCTTGCACTTACTGGTTTGAGCACTAACAAGATCGAGAAATGCCTCAAATCGAAAATCTCTCATTTCAAAGTTGTAGCACTTGGATTCAGAGGGGCTAATGCATTAGAATGCCCCTCTGAATGTGTGACGTCAGCGCAGATTTAACGATTTTAAATCTTTTACTAAAACGTTCGGTAGCACGCGGTGGTATATGCTGCTTTGCGCGCATCAAGTGCCGTACTTTCAAATAAAGTCGCTAGGAACAGCGGATATCCCAAAAAGTACACAAAAGTAATTTTAATATCAACCAGTGAATATCTTTTTATGAAATTTGGTAGATATTCGTTTTCGCTCTTTCTGAACCGAGCGAGATCACTTTCATGTCAATTCATTAATTTTTTAAGGTGGGAGGGTCCCTTTAATCCGGCTGACCTGAGGTCATCTAAAGGTCGTGACGAATTCTAAGGAAATTTGTCAGAATGCCTCCGTAAGAACATGAGATGCATGTTCCTCGTTTTTCCGCAATACCTCCTATATCGCTACCGATAACATAAAACTTGCAGACCTTCGGCTGCATAAATTTGGCACCTTGTGTGCGAATAAAAATTTCGTAGCTGCCATAGGTCACCAAAAATGACGTCAGAGCGACGTAATGTTCGGTCGCTTTGGATGCAAAACACTGAACTACGAGAAACGTTCTCAAGGGCTGTTTTTAAGTTCGATCGAATTATTTACACGAGAAGATTTAGAATACACGGGGCTATTAAACTGCTGTCCCGGATACTCTTAAGTTGGAAAATTTCAGAAACTATACCCAACTATAAAATCTCAAAAATTATCTTCAGAAATTGTTACCTATTCAGTTTTTTCCAAGAAAAAAAAAACGTAATATACGTGATAGAACACAGAGACGATCTACTCTAGAAAGCTTCAGCCTGAGATCTTCAAAAATAGCAAGGTTATACACTTAACCATTTCCGGATGGCCATGCTGCATATCTAATTTGGCAGGCCTTTATTTAGCTTGGTCGCATTCCCCAACTCGCTAGCTCAATCACATAAAGTTATTGATGAAAAAAACGATTGCAACAAGCAGCCTTAGTGGCAATTTTTGTCACAAGGTCAAAAATGCAAAAGTTCAGCATATTGCCATGCGGTGCATAAGGAATCACGATTTCACATGCTTGAGATAGGATTTAGGCATTTTCCACATCTACATAGAACAGGCCTGCAGATGTGCCTGCCACTTCAATAATATTGAAAAGGACATAAAAATAGTGAAAATGGTTCATGACTTGTTTATGAACAGCCTATCTTTCAGAATTTCAGCAAAGGAATTTGCAAGCTATCAAAATTCACAGTATATTACAAATGAGCAATGACACATTCCATGCACATGTAACACACAAGAGATTTAAGAATGTAACTATCCACTCTGCCAAGCATAACTTCTAATTCAAGGAAAGAACAGTACCTTGAGGGCCTTAGCAGTAGCTGCATTCTTCCTCTGATCCTTCAACTTCCTCCTCTTGAGAATAGTCTCGGTGACTGTGGGCAGCTTTTTGGCTGCTGCCACTTTCTTCCTGAAAGAAGGAAATGGTTAGGCACCTGCAAAGTGCATTATGTATGAAAGATCAGTTCCTTGATGATGATTATTGGGTTTGGTGGTGTGCCCAACCAGATCAGTTCCTTCAAAGAATAGATCAGTTCCTTCCAAGAATGGCAACAGAACCTATCTGGCAACAGAAGCACCAAAATATTTATTGGAGAATTGTTGCTACTATTGATAAGAACCTTCATCAGTCCATCACGCTCATTGATACCCCGGACTAGACCAATCTGCAGTGGTAGGGGGAAGCTTTTCAGTTTCTTTAATTTTCAGAAGATTTGAACTTTCAAACTGGCAGTTTGAAAGTTTGAACTTGCAATTTGAAAAAAAACTTAGTTTGCCTCAGCTAGCAAAATGTTCTGATTAGCTATTTTGCAGAAGCATCTGCTCCCAATGAAGCAATCTTGTGATTATCTTTTATTCCCTTTTACATCATATTGCTATTTTTAAAGAAACAGCATTGTGTTCAGCAGACAATATCAATATTTTTGTGAAAAATCAGGTGAGCTTCTTGAGACTAGCTTGTTTTCTAACAATTGGTGAAATAAAAAGGGTCTGCATTTATGCCCTAACATGGCTATTAAGGATAAATTTCAAATGCCTTCATTTTTGGACTCCAGAGACCAAAACCCAAGTTTGCCCAGATGAATTATGGTTTTTGAAGCAACTAATTTTTTTAGTTACATAAATTTATAGGTACCAAATACTTCATTTACAACATATAGATAAAAAAGTGCAATGACCTAAAAATGCAAACAACAGGAAGAACAAAAAACCAATTATTTGAAACTGAATTAGAGGTCAAACTCAAGAGTCTCGCAGCCGCAAAGATTCCATGCGATATCATAGAAACTTTGTCATTCGCAGAACTCTTGAATCCACCCTTATTCTTATATCTTAAAAATTATGGCTAATTGTAATTGATATGATAGGTAGTTGATCTCTCCTCATCCTAGGCTGGATTTAGATTTGATGCACTGAACTAAATAGATGAGCTGGCGATACAACAACATGAAAACAAGAAAGTCTTCAGGCTGCGTAACTCGGACCTCAATATTATCTGGATTTTTTGCCAGCTTGCACCATATGGTGGCACTATCAAAGCTTACTATATATCAATTCTAGATAATGAGGACTTAATTTCTATCTATTCATTTTCTATCACAATTAATGCCATTTTTGTTTAAGTTCATCTACTACCATGTTTATATTTAAATCACGGCGACTATCATGCGTCGCCAGCTGACTGAATTCAGTTGTTACCAAGCCCCGTAACTAAAAAAAAACAGAAACTAAAGCGACGAACGCGACGCATGTTTCTATCGAAATACAAAGAGATTCACGGCTCAGAAACCCACAATCAAGCTTCTGAAAGAAAGCCCAATGATTCCTTATATTGAAAGGCAAACTATTAAACGAAATAAGCAGCAAAAAGCCAAAGAATATGAATATCGCCCGGAACTCACGCTGTCGCCGGCGCCATGGTTGACACTTGCCGGAAAAAGGACCGTAGGCATAGCTCTGCGTGTAGAAACATATTATTATATTTTCACACAAAAATGAACATTTCAATTTTAATAAAAAAAATATTACATTTAAACTGTTTTAATTTATTCAAATAATTTTTGGAAGAATAATGAAATAATGTAAAACAAAAATAAAACACAAATTTTAAGAGTGGCAGGTTTTTGACATCAAACCCCTCGGAATCGGCCCAATAACCCATTTACGCCCTTCGTTGCGTTTTCGCAACGCAAGCAAGCGTCGACGTGATCGAAGCTTGAGAAGTGTGTAAAAGAGACTAACCGATGAGACAAGTTTCAGCGTGTGTAGCATGGTTGTGCGCATGATACTACGCAGTTACAAGTCTGTGCGGCCGGTAAGTTACTGACTAGAGCTCCCAGAGGGAAGTCGAAGGTTTTGTGAGTGATGACGTCACGAAAACCAAGATAAGAAGGCTAAGTGCTTAATAATATCTTAATGAAAATTGTGTAAACATATTCTGCAGAGTCCCTACAATAGCGTAGATATGCATTTTGTTAAGAAATAGGTACAAAAAGGGTTTGTGACTATTTTCAAATATGACTACGGTCGCGTTGCGGGAACGCAACGAAGGGCACATCGGAAAGACAGCGGTGTTGCGAAAACGCAACGATGGGCACATTGGCAGGGTAGCGGAAGTATGAATATCAACAGTAGACTTCACTCGTGATACGCTGTGGGTTCTCTCTTTCTCTCCCCCATCTTTCTCCCTCTCCTCCTCGTTCCCCAACTCTCTCCTCCCTCTCTCTCTCTCTCTCTCTCTTCTCTCTCTCTCTCTCTCTCTCTCTCTCTCTCTCTCTCTCTCTCTCTCTCTCTCTCTCTCTCTCTCTCTCTCTCTCTCTCTCTCTCTCTCTCTCTCTCTCTCTCTCTCTCTCTCTCTCTCTCTCTCTCTCTCTCTCTCTCTCTCTCTCTTTCTTTCTCTCTCTCATTTTGTAGCCATGAGGCTGTAGCGGCGGAACATCTTCAATTAAGGGGGGGGGAGCACTGCTGACTTTTGGTCTCATTCTTTCCATTTCCATTTCCATGCAACGCCTATCGGGATAATGTTAAAATGGCAAAATCAAGGGGGGTACGGTGCCCCGGTGCCCCCTCCCCCCGCTCCGCCGCCTATGCCATGAGGGACGTATATAGGTATGTTTAGTGCAAGGTGCGTTCGCACGTAAAATGTTGCGACACATTTCATATTTGCTGGCTCAAACAGCCACAAACACTCCTTTCTTTTTCTCTCGCAGATTTTCGGCCTCGGGCTGTTCGTTCACTAAGCAATGTGTTCCCATGCATCTGAAAATCACATGGTAGGAAAAGGACCCAGGCATCAAACGGTCGGCGATGCTAACGGAGCTGAGAGATAATTAGGTCCTTTGGAAATTGGATCTACTATGTACATTGTAGAGCACTTCACGGATAGGCTTTTTAGGATCCGGCCCGGCCCATATCCGGCAAGTCATATCCAGATCCGCCCATTATCCGCCTTTCTTTGAATATCAGAATCCGGCCCACCCATGGCCCGTATTGCAGCCAAACTTCCAAAAAATATCCGTAATAATCCGTTTCACCAATAACTGGTTTCACCCAAAACTGGACTAACAAATTCAATCTAAGGGACCAGACAGCCATACATCTCACAGACCATCATGGTTCCAAAAACCATGCTTATAAACCTAAAACCACATGAAAATCACCACATTGGTAAACTAGGTATCATCTTTCAATAGTAATACACAATTTCTCTAAGAAGTAAGAAGATAGGGAAGTTCAGGTCATCAAATGCATGTATGGTGGTAGTTGGTGAGTTACAAGTGCCCAACAGATATTACATAATTGTAATACCGCCCCATGCCCACTATCCACATCCCAGTCTTTACTCACCCACACGCTAAGTGCAAACTTCAGTGACTCCACTCCAGAAACTTAACCCTCGCCGGCCGAGGGGGGGGGGCGGGTGCCGCCCCCCCCCCCCCCATAGGGTTTTTTCGTGATAGCTCCAAACACGCTGGGGATAGAGAGCTGAAACTTGGCATACCTGATCTTTGATCCAAGCCGGATCTTTTGACACCAACCGAATTTTTGGGTCAGGTCAGGTCACTGACCTATGACGTCATAAGTGAACCTCTGCACGGTCTTCAGATGTCGCATCTTCGCAACGCCCTCACTGCCAGAGGAGATGTCACAGGGAAATGAAACTTGCAGGATCTAGTATCCATTATGAGTCCCACAACTTGTATGTCTCGGATTTTTCCTAAAGGTCATATGAGGTCAGGTCATTTTCGTGACCTCACCATTATAAGTCAATGGGGAAAAATGAAAACTGCTATTCTGGCGCCGGGAACGATCTCCAACTATCTCAAGCACACAGAATCGTGATTTGATGCACTCCTTGCAAGGTTAGATGCGTCACTTTTGCAATGTTGACCTTGCGTGACGTCATTTATGACGTCATCAAGGTCATATTAGTTTTTCGTCAATAACTCTTGATCAAATTGAGCTAGCGAGTCGGGAAAGCCACCAATGGACTCAGGAAGACCTGCCGAATCGAATGATATGCGACATGACCTCTTTCGACCAACTTCGTGACCTGGGGGTGCTGACCTGACCTTGACCTGAGGTCAACACCCCAAGTTGACCTGACCCGGACAAAAAGTATATCATTCGACGCGCCTGAGCGAGACGAACACGATGCTGCCAAAATCGGCGCTCTGCGGCCGTTTTTTGCGAAGTTATTCACCAAAAACTGAACCGTACCTTGGGGCACTTGACCTGACCTCAGAGGTCACCGGTTGACCTAGGACCTTAAAATCGGGTACCAATCTCTGCGTCTCGTAACGGCGCACACGCTCGTTTTTTCCGCGACGCGCTAGCTGCACCAGGGGCGAAACGGCGAGGGGGGGGTCGTACCCGCCCCCCCCCCCCCTCGGCCGGCGCGTATGTAGAAAACCAATAGGTCCGGCGAGGGTTAAGTGTCATAAAATGATGCCTATTACAGTTTAATCAAACCTCTGCTGCCGCTTAACACATTAGGTTAATTTTTAACTTCAATGTTGAATGTTAAAATTTTGATCCGTTTTGATCCGGGTTCAACCTTCAATTCCCAAATCCGGCCCGCCCATATCCGTTCTTTTTTAACAAATTTAGAATCCAATCCTATCCGGTCCGCGGATTTATCCGTGGATAACGGATTTATCCGGCCCATGAAGTGCTCTAGTACATTGTGCATAAATAATGAATAACGGGGATGTATTCTGGTATCAGGCGACAGATAGGCATCGCCATTCTCTGGATAGAATCTGCTGACTACCAGCATTTACGTTAGAAAAGATAACTGAGGGTCGGCAAATAGTGGGATAGGCCCCCTCTAAGGCTAGCTGAGCCCTTCGGCAGGGGTAATGAGGGCGGCCCCATGGGAAAATAATAATTTTTAGGATTCATAACTCGCATAGATTCATAAGCTGCTTGATGTGGAGTATACGCCTGTTTTCTTACTTTGATAGGCTTTTTATCTAATCAGACCATTTTTAGAGCTAGCAGGATTATTGAAATTAGGGGAGACATTTGTCTGACCGGACACGGTCAATCGTAGACTGGAGACTGAGCCCAGCCAGTGGGCAGCCGCCACCCATGACCCCCCCTCCCCCCCCCCCTCCCAAGCACTCACTGCACCCGGCTACAGGCGCGCTCCTATGTGAGCTGCCCGATTGCGATATACGTTGCCGGTCCAGCCCGGAACAGGGGGATGAGGCGTGGAGGAGGATTCAACTATCCTGAAGATGGAAAGGACGGATTGACGTCGAATCACCATTCTGTCCTGGCATTGTCTCGAGAAAGAGGTTACACGTGAAGGTCGCTGAGAGTGGGGCCATGACAATTTTGGATTAGGTGTTAACATGATAAACTGGGAGTCGATTTGTTGTGATGCGCTACGCCTTACGCGGGTAATTTGTTAGAGCCGGATCGGTCCTTTTTTTCTTTTTGCTGAGAGTGGGTACGACTAACCTGCAATGGAATTTAACTTTACTCCTAGGAGGGTGGTTAAAAATGATTGCGGATATACGCGCATACGAGAGGCACTGGTTTACTCCCAATCCTCCGTTTAATTGTATTCAGTGTGCACTGTGCAGGGTCTGATAGGTGGAGGTAATGGATCTGTCTAGCTTCCAAAAAGAAAGCATCACCCTGGATACGTGTCGACCACAACTTTAAATGAACAGCAATGGACAACGTAAATGGTTGATAATGACCGTGTTGCCATCTCCCCGTTCGCGAATCATGAAGTTATGCTTCCTCACTGAGGCTCTTAGGCGGGTTATAGAGCATGACGGATGTGGGTTCCGCATTTTCAAGCAATAGTTGTCAACAGTTGATTGATGTTTTGTCAAAACATATTAGCATATACGGCAGTTCAGTGTACTTTATGTCCGTCTGATGTGCCCGTCGTTGCGTTTTCGCAACGCTGATGGCGCCCGGTGTGCCCTTCGTTGCGATTTCGCAACGCATGTTTTTTACGTTTTTCTCGAGAAACTTTTGCTGCACGCAAAAATTATTTTCGATTCCATACAAGGCCCTGGTAGGAGCATAACATATTTTGATTTCGTCGATTTGCATGATGGTCAATATTCCTGGGCATAAATGGGATAAGCAAATAATAGCAATGAAAATGTCATTGTTGCACCGCTTTGGCAAACGTAGGTATGCTTCAAATAGTAATTCTTTTTTATAATTATCACCCCTCTTAAGAAAATTTCTTCAACTTTAGTGAAGGGTTCTTTCTAGTTTATGATGCTCGTATGCAATCATTAAAAAAAAAAAAAACGATGCGGGGACTTGCAACACTCTTGAGGCCGACAGTAGGTAACTTATTATCCAAGAGCCGACGCCACATCTATAGGTAGGTATACGTATGCCTTGACAAGAAAATGCTATGGCTCTCGGCTCGGGCCGGTAGTAGGTACTCCCAGCGACTATCGAAAACATTTAGGTACTGGATGAAACGAGACGTTACCCGCACCAGACCTGAGTTAACGAAGTGTGTTGGACTTAGCTCAATATGGAGCCATTTAGTACCATTATCATTCCATATTAGTTTAACGTTTTGGTCGGCGTTGGCTAACGATAGTGTCGGCCTGTCGGGTAACTTGCGCTCAATGTAGGTTCATTTAGGTATAGTGTCGTGGGATGCTCAGGTATCGGCGAGAGCCATCAGAAGCTAGCGTTGCGCGTAAGGCCTCAGAGTTCAAAGGTTAGAGGCCCTAAAGACCGGTAGGGAGTCGTCAGAAGCCAGTGTAACGCCCGCAAGGTCCCACATGTCCTCGCCGATGTACCTAGCTAATCATAAAGTCTCGTGATCTCACAAGCCAGTTTGGGGTCGGAAAGTTCACAAGCCCTGTGTAGCCGAGTATAGCGCCCTCAGAGATCAGGCTTGGCTCCCAGGCACCTGCATTGAGCACCTTATGGATCGGAGGTATTAGAAGACCATTTATCGCGACCCCTATAATGCCTGCAAAATACCTGCAAAATGGAGTCATCAAAGGCCGCCGGGAATCTCAGAGACCGGTGAGACCGCCGAAAAAGATACCTACGTCACTTAGAAGTCGGCGCCGGCCCCAAGAAGCCGCTACGGGCTTTTAAAAGCCGGCTACAGGCTCTCAGTGCGCTTAGGGTTGAGGATAATCACTTCCCGTAGCAAATGGCTGGCATAGCCGTAACCCTTATCCTGCTGCTCACATTTTCGATTTTTTTTTTCTCAGTGCTCACAGCCTATGTAGGCCGCATGGTGTTCCACGGGTCCACTGAGCTACCGCACAGCAGTTTGAGGAATTGTTATAACCCGCGCCCAGATGGGGTCTGCCGAGCAACGCGGTCTGATGGGGGGGGGGGCATTTTGGCCCCCCTCAGATCTCGAGAACCACGCAACATAGTGACAAGCGGTAAACGGTGTTGGATAGCCCCAACGAGGAACTACCTTGTGACCCAATTTCATTGACCTCGGTCAAACCGATGACGTCACAGGTCAGGTCAAAGGTCGAATTTTCACCGTTTACAGGCATTTCAAGAAATGCGTTGTAAAATCGTGTAAAATGCATTTCATTGAAAATCATCGATGGGGAAATGTTCTTCAAACACATATTTTGCTATTTGAGGTCACTGATACCAGGTCAGGTCACAGAGGTCAGGTCACTGGGGGGTCACAATATGAAAGTGTCGTGTGATACATGTTTTATGGTCCATTTTACATGACAAATGCGATTATGTGGGTCAGACAGACTTTAGGGCCAGCTTAGGTCACGTTTTGGTCAAGGTCAGGTCAAGGTCAGGTCAAGGTCAGGTCAAATTAGGTCAAATTTCAAAGCTGATAGTTTTGCATAAAATGGGTATCGATTCGATGCAGCTCGTCACGGGGAGTTCTATGGTGGTCTCCGTTTTGCGCTACGAGGTCTAGAATTGCTAAAAAATGAGTTCAAAAATTTGACGTCATCAATTTTTAACAGTTTTTTTCGCTATAACTTGGCCAAAAAAAGAGGTATCGTTCTAAAATTTGGTATGTATATGGAAGAGCGCAGACACTATCACATATATTCCGTTTTTTTCGAAATTCGAAAAAAAAGGAATTTTTTTGAGTTTTTCTAAAAAATCGTTTTTTTATTTTTGGGGGTCAAAATCCAAAAATTTCGAAAATCCGAGATAACAGTTTTGTAGCGCCGTCTTTTCTCTACACAACCACATAAAGAACTTTAAAATTGCTTGTTAACTGTGTAATTGGTGAACGTTTCAAGATGTCATGTTTTTTGCTCATTTTTACTCGAACATGACCTCAGTTTGACCTCAATAACTCCTGACCTGAGGTGACCTGTGACTTGAAATTTTGTGTGAAGGTGTCAAATTGATGCCCGGTAAGGTACCCAAAATTTGGCGGTGCTGCGCGCCGCCGTTTTTTCGCTATTTAAGAAAAACCACAGGGGGGCCAAAATGCCCCCCCCATCAGGGCGCGGGTTAATATGCCAATGTCGCTCCCATTCTGCTCGGTCGATAGCACAAGATTTGCATTGTGTGAACTGTGAAGTTACTGCGAAATACATATGTATTTTACAATATCGAAGCATCGCTCATCAACCTTCTTTTACCGCCCTTCCCCTTCGTGGACTCAGTTTTACTCCAGCTCAGTGGACCTGAGTGCAGGAGGCTCTCCCATAGGCGGCGGAACGAGGTGGGCAACGGAGCACCGTGCACCCTTTGATTTTGGCATTTTAACATTAGCCTATGGGCGTTGCATGAAAAGAATGGGACCAAAAGTCGGCAGGCCCCCCCCCCCCCTTAAAGGAAAAGGGCCACCTTTAACATGGGGATTGAAACTGAGATAGCCATCTTGTAGCCCGTGTCCGGAAACCTATCTGTCCACCTCCTTACGGCCGATTTCGGCCTCCATTCGTAGTTATCGGCAATTTTAAAAGAAAATACGCCAGGAATGCGTCCTTATCCCAGGAATGCGTTCTTATCTGACAATACAGCCACCCGCGGCGAGGCTTTGGTTTTTTACCAATCAGCTCCAACCAGCTCAGCTTTAACCAATCAGCTTATCTGACACAATCCGACGAGTCTGTCTTCTGAACGCTGATTGGCTTGAGTGTGACGTCATCGCTATGCCATCATACAGTAGGTGCCGTAGAGAGTATCAACATAGTACCAATATGTTAAATAGTTTTAAATACTTTTTCGCGAATTGTGCACTTCTGGCACCAGTTTTAAAAAGAAAATGAAAAATAATAATGTCAAAATGAAAAACAACGATATCTTCATATTTCACGAAGGTGGCCCTTTTCCTTTAATTGAAGGTGTTCCGCCGCCACTGGGCTCTTCCTTTATCAGAGTTTTACGGAAGCCCGTATTAGAGCTTAAGTAACACTAACGTCTTAATTTATACCACTTGCTTACTGTTCAGCAAATTGTAAATGTTCATGTTCAGAGTAAGTAATGTATTTATGTTTTTGAACATTAGACAGAGTACCAAACCAGTCACACACCATTCAGAACTCTAAATGCACACAATGGTGGACTCCGATTTTTTATTTCATCAAGCCACATTCAAACCACCAACATGACTTGTGTATGTGTAGGTATATCATTCGCCGCATTCTGGTATGTAAAGCTTGGCTGTAACACCTTACATAATCTCAACAATTCCTGAGCACCGAAGCACACCTGCCGGTTAATGTACAGACGAAATGATGACCGTTACCCGGTTGGCTAGTGCAGCCGCATATGGACTGTCTTTCTCGACGTACATGCATGCTAGACGAATGTTCACCGATCTATTTGCCTACCGTTCGTTAAAAACCGGCTATTTTATTTCCCGAGATTCTTGAAACGGACTTTCGTCCTTACGTGTGCTTTCTTAGTGGTAGGTATGTATTCTGCCATTTCTACGTATTTTGTTGGCGCTTTATTTGTAGATGTGACCTGATAATAGGGTGTAGTGAGGCATGCCAACAGTAATATGTATGATTTATCAGTTCAAGCGTCGCATTTTCCCCGAGAAGATGTTTTCGTCACGCGCCACACAGAAGTTATCTATCCAAATAGGAAGATAAGAAGGCTCGAGAGCGCAATTAATTTCAGCTGATGGTGGTTTATTTTCAACGCAATAGCCGGTATCTCGTATTTTACGTTACATATCTTAAATGGACGAAAATAGTCTTATAAAGGCCTGCGATTATATGAAAAGCGTATAAATAAATAGATAAATGGATCGCTATCGCTATGGATTGCTCTTAAATGTACAATACAATATAACACAATACAATAAATAGTTAAACAGATGATAGATATAGTAGCATCTACCATGACAATGTGACAGGAATCTCAATTCTTCTTTTTGTTGACTCCTAACTTGGAATTTATGAGCTCGAACTATTTGCTTACCAGCCTCTTACAGAACAGAAAGTACCAACAAATTACAAAACTTTCGTAAAAAAACGCACTCATGACTCAACTTGATACTGAAGCAGGGTCGACTTCCACCTTTTCTCTACACATACGAGCATCTATCGATGTCAGCTTCATTAAAATGATCATTTGCGTTCGACAAAAAAAAAAATGTGACAACCAGACACATAACTAATTAACTATACCTAATTCTTCGTCACATCTTGCCAAACTTCATTGTTCACATATATGTACAAACACAAATAGGCATAAGTAGCACAATTGAGCATAATCAGGGGGCTCTGTTGGGGCCTCGGTAGTCCAATCTCGTGGTGTTACGTTGTTGCGGCGTAGTCTCATCCGAAGAACCTCGGGTTTGCCTGGATGCCGGTCACCGATGTCTCATCGGAAGAACCTCATGTTGGTCTGAATGCCGTCCACGGGCCGCGTGGTGCCACAGAGCGTGGCCAGCTGGTTGGATTCTCCCCGGCGGGCGGCGTGCAGCGCCCGCAGAAACTGCACGATCTGGCCAGACGACGGCTGACACACCTGAAAAAGTGAATATTGCAGATGTTTTTGGAAAGCTGAATTGGATTCATGGTCGAATGGGGTCTCAAGTGTTTATGTGGGAATTTGGAAATGTGTAAACAATGCTTTACCGGGTACACAGCCTAATAAAATGCAATCAGGGCCTCGTCTAACATGTTAACTGGTGGGCCAAATGGCCCACCAGTGCTCAGAATTGGCCCACCAGTCACAGGGAAATGACCCACCAGTTAAATCTTACTTCATAGAGAAAAAAAAACAAAAAATGCGAGATTTTTTTCATTTTTCAGATATCGACCAATTCAGACGGGTTTGTTTTGTACATTAACTGGAAACTTAAAAAAAAAACCTACATAAGCGAATCTTTGAAATTTTCCTTTGTATCAGCACCTCATAGGTATGGCATCCCAAATGGCAGTTTACCTCTACGACAAAAGTGACGAATATGTTTCAAACGAAAAACGCTCTGTGGGTATCGACGTGTTTTTAATTCTCGCTAACGACGCGTTTCTAGCACTATGATATCTGTACGAGCATTCAACAACCAAAGAACAACCAACAGTCATCAACAGTGTAGACATGCTGTAAACTGTGTGTGCATTTCTTGATGGGAAGGCAAGAGACGGCGCCTGTGAGGGCTAGATTAGGACACGTGTGAGAAGCGTGAATTTGTTTGACTTTCCAAGTGTTATTTTTTTTGTGGAGTCCGTAATGTGCAAGCGTCACGGTCACAATGCCGTGTGATAGGTATGAGCATAAATAAAACTGGGTACATGCATTACTCCATTCGAAAAGGTCTCGTGAGTCGCGAGGCATGGGTTCTTCATTCGTTGTAAGGAGGCGATGACACGAAAACGCCAGACGGTAGAGGTTACCCTGGAAAACGAACTCGCTCCGATGTAATATGACCAATTGTCCATAAACTGGTCAATGAAGAACAACAAGAACAGAAAATCTTGCCTCTTTTGCTAACGATTAGGTCAACATCTAGGACTGGAATCAGCCTTGACCTAAGCTGGACAGTAGAAATGTATCTGTACCATCTGTACCTTAGCAACATTAGCAACATATGGCCTTGTTAGCAACAGTTTGTCCCAAGGCCCTAAATAACAGTTTGTCGTATCGGTGATATCGCTCGCACAGCCTTCATTAGGAAATTGCTCTCATCTCGTGCGGTGCTCGCAGTGAATGCTTTCGATGCCCGGATCCGGATCGTGGTGCAAACTCGAGACGCAACAAGTAGGTACACTCGGGGGCAGATTGATGTTCTACAACTCTTTATCCACCGGGTTCCTATGGCTCAGCATTGGCAGCAGCCGCCTGGTACCGGTAGACTGTGCCGCTTCACTTACTTGTCAAGCGGCACAGCCTACCCACACCGTATGACACCGGTCTGGGTCGGTGGCTGGAAGGTGATGTGGGCCGCCTGTGACGTCAGCGCAGCGGTGAGGGCCGAGCCCGGAGGCATGGCTCGGGTCGGCGCGGCGCGGCGGCTGGCGAGGGCTGGGGAGTGAGGTGGCATGGACCATCGCGCGGCTGAGCGAGTGTAGTTAACTTTCGCGTCTCAAGGCGGCAATTATTTTACCTAACAATTGTGCTAAAGCAGTTGTTAAAATATCCTATGCCCAAGACAGCGCCTATCATCATACTTGCCATGAGCATTACGACACACTTTAACGTCGCATTGGGACAGCCGATAGAATTTATATCACACGTGCATCGAGTTGCGGAGCTGCATTATTTATAACAGATAAGTATTAAGGCCTTGATTGAGCTCATTGGTGTCTATTATTTCGCACAGCAATCGTCCAGAGACGTGGGAACTGCGGTTTTTGGACAGCGCGGCAGCCAACGCCCCAACTTTAAGCAAATCTTACTGTTCCTCTAATGTGTGATCGCAGCCACCAATAGCAAACCGTTCAACTAGGAGCAAATAAGTCTCGCACCCGGGACGGTTCGAACCAGGGGCGGATCCAGGAAAACTCCAAGGGGAGGGTCATGAATCGAAGTGGTGCCCCTACCTATACCCAAAATTAAAAACTCAACGGATTTCGTCCACTTCATTTTGGTGGTGCCCCCATTTTCAGTTTTTTTCTTTTTATTTTTTATTTTTAGTCAGTATCTTAACTCTTAGCCACAACCACATTTACCAATTGTAAGCAAGTATATATGAATGTGCTATGTGCATAGATGCTATGTGTATATATGTTGTGGACGCTGAGTAGTGAGTACTTACCAGGAACGTTATCAGGTAAGCAAATCGTTGTCAGTCCGACGAACTTGACCCTGGCGTCTAAAGGGTCTGTCCTTGACACTTCAGGCTTGTCAGGGGCACCAAAGTCCTTCCAGGGACACCACAAACCTTTCAGGGGCACCTACGGCCTTGTAGGGGCGCCACAGGCCCGCCAGGGGCACCACAGGCCTGCCAGGAAGTAGGGGCACCACAGGTCTAGCAAGTATACACGACAGGCCTGTCAGGGGCACAACGGACCTGTTGGGCCCATGAGCACCCCTAGGGGCAGGGGCACCACAGTCCTTCCAGGGGCACCGCAGGCCTGTGAGGGGCACCAGCGGCCTAGCAGGGGCACCAGTCAACACAGGCCTGCCAGGGGCACCACAGACCTGCAAGGGGCACCAGAGGTCTGCCAGGAGCACCACCGACCCCGCAGGGGTAACTTGGGCCTGTCAGGGGCCAGGGGCACCACGGGCCTGTCGAGAGGCACTTCAGGCTTTTCAGGGGCACCATAGTCCTCTCCGGGCGCAGGGGTAGCAGGGGCACCAGAGGCCTGCCAGGGGCACTACAGGCCTAGCAAGGGCACCACTGGTCTATCAGGGGCACCACGAGCCTGTCATAGCCAGGCATCTCAGGCTTGTCAAGGCCCAGGGGCACCACAGGTCTGTGAGGGGCACCAGCGACCTAGCAGGGGCACCAGTCAACACAGGTCTGCCAGGGGCGCCACAGACCTGCCAGGGGCACCAGAGGTCTGCCAGGGGCACCACCGGCCTCGCAGGGGCACCTTGGGCCTGTCAGGGGCACCACGGGCCTGCCGAGGGGCACTTCAGACTTTTCAGGGGCACCAGTCCTCTCCGGGCGCAGGGGTACCAGCGGCCTAGCAAGGGCACCAGAGGCCTGCCAGGGGCACCAGCGGCCTAGCAAGGGCACCAGAGGCCTGCCAGGGGCACCACAGGCCTAACAAGGGCACCACGGGCCTGTCAGGGGCACCTCAGGCTTGTCAGGGCCCAGGGACACCACAGTCCTTCCAAGGGCACCGCAAGCCTGTCAGGGGCACCAGAGGCCTGCCAGGGGCACCACAGGCCTAGCAAGGGCACCACTGGCCTGTCAGGGGCACCTCAGGCTTGTCAGGGCCCAGGGGCACCACAGTCCTTCCAGGGGCATTACAAGCCTGTCAGGGGCACCAGAGGCTTAGCAAGGGCACCACAGGCCTGCCATGGACACCACAGGCCTGCCATGGACACCACAGGCCTGCCAGGGGCACCACCGCCCTTGCAGGGGCGCCTCAGGCCTGTCAGGGGCACCACGTGCCTACCGGGGACACTTCAGGCTTGTCAGGGGCGTTACAGTCCTGTCAGGGCCCAGGGGCACCAGGCCCGTGGTGTCCCTGCTAGGCCTGTGGTGCCCCTGGCGGTCCTGTGGTGCCCCTGTCAGGACTGTGATACCCCTGATAGGCCGGTGGTGCCCCTGGCAGGTCTTTGGGCCCCCGGGCCTCAAGGGGGGGGCCATGACCCATGTGACCCCCCCCTTGGATCCGCCCCTGGTTCGAACCGGGATTCTCCAACCGGTCACCCTACGGCACTATAGCGTGCATCCACTGAGCTACCGAGACCAGCGACCGCTCGTCGCGGTCAAACGCGATCAAATGTCACAATACTGTCATTGGCGGTCAGCGGGTGAATGTCACTTTGTTTTCTGCTGCTGGGGGCCATTCTTGGTAGCTCAGTGGATGAACGGTCGTATCGTAAGCTGACCGGTGGGGGAAGCCCGGTTCGAACCCTTCTGAGTGCCCGAATTTTTGGCTCCTAGTTGGAACGGTTTGCTATTGGTGGCTGCGACCACATATTAGAGGAACAGTAATAATCGCTTTAAATTGGGGCGTTAGCTGACGTACTATACCCATAACCCTAGTTCCCACGTCTCTAGACGATTGCCGTGCGAAACAATAGACACCAATCTGCTCAATCAAAGCCTTAATACTAACATGTTACACAAAATATAGCTCCGCACCTCGATGCACATGTGACATAAGTTCTATCGGCTGTCCCATTGCCACGCTTAAGTACTTCGTAATACGCATAGCAAGTAAATAATAGGCGCTGTTTTGGGCATAGGGCACTTTAACAACTGCTTTAGCACAATTGTTAGGTAGAATAATTGCCGCCTTGAGACGCGAAAGGTAACTACACTCGCTCAGCCGCGCGATGGTCCATGCTCCCACCCTCCCACCCCGCCTCACTCCCCAGCCCTCGCCAGCCGCCGCGCCGCGCCGACCCGAGCCATGCCTCCGGGCTCGGCCCTCACCGCTGCGCTGACGTCACAGGCGGCCCACATCGCCTTCCAGCCACCGACCCAGACCGGTGTCATACGGTGTGGGTAGGCTGTGCCGCTTGACAAGTAAGTGAAGCGGCACAGTCTACCGGTACCAGGCGGCTGCTGCCAATGCTGAGCCATAGGAACCGGTGGATAAAGAGTTGTAGAACATCAATCTGCCCCCGATTGTACCTGTTTTGACCGCAGAGATAAGTATTATTTTCTGCGTGCTCTACCGTGTAATTTTCTGGATGAGCCAGGCGAGCGATACGTGAGGAGTGCGAATCGGCCTTACTTATCCAATATCCAGTATAAAGTTAGTCTGAATTTAATAAGCTGTTTTTTTTTCTTTTAAGCCGGGGCGGGGCTCCCAACTACCAAGCACTCAGTGATACGGCTGAGCTGCTCAGCTGGTCGATTTGACTCTGCCGAATGTAAATGGTGTTTACGTTCCAGTGGACATCTGGATTTGATCTCATATTGCAGTCTGACCTAGGAACACTTGGTCGTCACTATTATCATCACCAAAATGGTCCACCTTTTTCCACTTCGGACAAAATCGATGTCGTTAGCAGGCCATAACCGATGACGACAGCTAAGGAAGAGACGACGGGGAGGATTAGGTCAATTTTTTATTTTATTTTTTTTTTATTTTTTTTTTTAAATACAATTTTGGCTTCGTCTCGAAAAATAGTGGGCCAAATCCGGGGAGTTTTCGGATTTTGGTGGGGGTACACCTTTGACCACCTGGTCGTCACTATTGCTATCAGCTAAATGGCCCACCAGTGAAAATTCCTTAGACGAGGCCCTGAATGCAATAGTGAAAATTAGAATAAGAGAAGAGGTTGACAGAACATAATTACTGTATGTATATTAATAAGCAGTAGGCAATACATTGCAAGGAAACACAATTTGAAAAAAAAACAATGGTTAAGATTTAAATCAGGGCTGTAACATCGGTAGTATGGACATCAACAGGCATTTACGATGCAGTGACCCACCTTATACTGTTCGCTCTGAAACCGGGCCGGGTAGTGCGTGTACTGCGCCGCCGGGCTGCGTTTGGCCTTGACCCCTGCCGTCGCCCCGGGCCGTCTAGAGGTCACCGGGTCACCGCCGGCGGCCGGCTCGGTCCGCTCGTCAGCTGAGCCTGCCGCCGCCGAGAGGTCGGGCGGCGGGAGGACGGCCGGTACCGAGAGACGGACGGAGGGCAGCGGCCGCGGGGCCGGCGGCCCGGGCCGGCAGGGGACGCCGCAGGCCTGGCGGGAATACACTGTGGACGGGGCGAAATGAGATAGCGGCGAAAAACGGCACGCGTCGATATCCTGACGAAAGGTAGATGAAAGATGTTAAAAGTTTGCAAACTTGTTACTCTTTCAGCACTTACATGACTTGTCATAGTTCTAGTATCAGTTATATTGTTAGTGTCAACTGTCAATCTTCTTGAACATCCCCTGTCGTGATTTTAAAGAAATTTAGAAATTGAACGCACTGCTCCCACCTCACCATGAGCTGTGCTCCTTTCCATCCATTTGAGAAATTATGCTGATTTACCATCACCGCTTCTAAGTGTCCATAACGAATTCCTGACCTGAATACTGACGCTCGAAGGCGCTGGCATGGTGAAGGACGGCCACGGTCATGAAGACGACTGTCACGGTAAGTTCCATGGCGTTTATATGTCTGTCGGAAACGATTGGTCACAGAAACACAACATACCTAAGAGCACGCTGCTCAAGCCCCGCACTATTTGAAGCAACTGTGTTCCGTTGTGCAACGTGCATAGGTATACCTACCGCCTACGTCCTACTCCTGCAAGCATATATTACATGCTTTAATCGGTAACTTTTCCTCAATAGTGGTCAGAAAAATACCTATATCAAAAAACTTTAACCCACTTATATTTTGCTATGCTTAACTTCATATTTCATACAATCTTTGAAACAGCCTACAAGGCAGCGCATATCGTTAAAATTCCATCAATAGATGGCACCACCACCGCGCGCCTAAACAGATACTGTGCCGCATGACTCGGGTGCTGCGGTGCAGTATACCCTCCAGAGTACTGCAACTCGTGTGCAGTTCAGCTGCTGTTTCGTGTCGGGCGGCAGTCGGTATAGCACGGCTTGTCTACGATCAAAAGGGTTTCACGTTGCAGCTTTTATTTATCGGTAATAAACTGATATTGAGAAGCCCTTTGACATGCATTTTTAAAAAGAAAGCAAATACCGTTACGGTGTGTAACGGTATTTTACGGTGTGTTTGTAAGACGGACGGTGTGTAAGCAAAGCTGAATTCCAAGTCATAGAGAGCACTAAGGGGTTTGACTACAAAGCTGCATAGCGAAGCTATTTATTGAGTAGGTCAATAGTCAAGTATTTGAATGGCCACCCTACCTCAGAGTCCAGACACCTATACATGCCCTCTCACCTGGTGTCGGAGGGCTGCTGGCCGCTGGACTGCCAGTGCCGGGTCTGCGTGCTCTGCTGATATACCGGCTGTCCCGGTGTAGGTGTGGGCGCCACACCGGGTAGCTGTCGGGGACACTGGTCGACCCCTCACGGCCCGCTGGCCCGGCCGCTCGTTCGTCATTTCGCCGTGAGACGGGGTGGTCACAGGGCGCGGAAAAGAGAAGTGCTGGTAATTGGTGATCGAACCGAGGTCTTAATCGACTTACTGTAATATCAGCCGTCATGCATAAGGTGTGGTGCAGACTGTAGCAAGGGCTAACCATGTTATAGGGAAAGTGCGGTTTACGGTGCGTGCTCGTTGCAATCAAACATCAGAAACCGAATCGAGCTTTACCTACACACTAGACTAGGGAATCTTGTGAACGCGATGTCCCTGAAAAAAGCAGAAAGTAGCAGCACGGTGTGATTGAAGATGTATACATTTGAAAGTTTATACTCTAATAAGAGAGCAGAATCTGCAGTCTGATCTATTCTTGTACTTTTTACCCGTCGTGTGTTCTCCACTCGGCCTGGTCAGTGCTCCCGACTTTTATCATTTGATCGGTAACCCATTGGGTCAGTCGGCGACCGGCAGGGAACAGCCGGCCGCAGCACATTACAACAAAAGTCATGTCTTTTCAAGGTGATGGAAATATTTCTAACTACGAGTGTTGTATAAGATCGAGTGTATATATAAACAATTGTACATGTTTTCTGGAAAACGTTAGTAACATGAAATCGTAACTTTATTCAGTCGATGAGCGTACCACATCTAAAACAATTTAGTTAGCTGCGAATAGAATTATATTTTTTTTCACGTGATATTTATTTCCAGCAGTATCCAAAAGATTTAACGATTCAGAAAATGACGAACAACGCGCACCGTTACCCCAAACTCCCACTTCTCACCACACTATCACATTCTCACCGATCACGCTCGCGACAGACTTTTTGGAAAACCCGACGCCAACAATGTCACCGGAGCCATCACCACCACGCGACGTGGTGTGGCCCGCCTGGTCAAGCCCATCATGGACTTAAGAACCGCCCCGGCCCCGGGGAGAGCTGGGGGATACGGCCCCAGCCGGGGAGAGCTGTGGGCTACCTCAATGAGATATATTTTTACTTTTGTACAAATGCTTAACAACTTGCGTCCAATGCGACAGCAGCCGAGTCAGTTTCTATTTCAACACTCGCCGCGCATGATTTCTATTTCGATTTTCATTTACCGGTTATAGCTATGTATATCTCAATCATTTATCAGACAAGTTTAGTTGTGCGCTCGCCCGTCTTGGCGGAATGACCAAAAACGATCAGTTATGGCTGTCGTCGACATGGAGATGAATTATCTGGGCGAAGAAATTAATAGCAGGAACATTTGTAAAAACAGTTCTTGTTCTATGAGATTGCACCTTATGGAGCACAACTCTCCCGAAGTAGGAGTTAAATCGCAGGATCATTTTATGATGAGCGGCAACAAAGTTCAACAATTGTTCACATACGCATGATATCTCTGTTTGGATAACCATTATGAAAATGAAAAAGGTTGTTATGCGACAAACACGTGACACGTCAAATTTCCTTGAATTTTGGACGCTAGGAGAGCCGTACACTCCCAAATCATCCCTGGATCAACCATCGATAACTAGCTGGCGTCACCTCTCCGCACTGCCACCACGTCTCACGACAATATGACGGACGACCGGGGCCAGCGGGCCGTGAGGGGTCGACCAGTGTCCCCGACAGCTGCTCGGTGCATGGCGCCCACACCTACACCGGGACAGACGGTATAACAGCAGAGCACGCAGACCCGGCACCGGCAGTCCAGCGGCCAGCAGCCCTCCGACACCAGGTGAGAGGGCATACGGTGACAGAACGCGGGTTCGAAGTAGGGTTTGTATTTCAGATAATGGATTAGGTAATGGCCTGCGAGATAGCTTAGCTAGGTGTGTAGCTCTGTCAAACAAATCGCTATGTGCAATCGCGGAATAAGAAGCAGAATTGGAAGTTTTGGACCTTTGGCATTAAAGGGACCCTCCCACCTTAACATTAGATTTGAGTTGAGATAGCCAAAATGGGGTCCCTGGCATTACCGGTTTCGGCACTCACAACATCGAGAAATGCCTTAAATCGGAAATATTGAATTTCAAAATTGCAGCATTTTGATTCAGAGGGGCTAATGCTTAGGAATACCCCTCTGAATGTGTGACGTCAGCGCAGATATCTAACGATTTTTAAATGTTTGACTAAAACGTTTTGTAGCACGCGGTGGTATATGCTATTTACGCGCAACAACTGCCGCAAACGCCGCACTTCTAAAATAAAGTCGCTAGAAACAGCGGAGATCACAAAAAAGTAAACAAAAGTAAAAGTCTAATATCTTGCAAACCGGTGAAGATTTTTCGGTGAAATTTGGTAGATATTCGTTTTCGCTCTTTCGGAACCGAGCGACATCACTTTCATGCCAATTCATAAACTTTTTTGAAGGTGGGAGGGTCCCTTTAATCTTATCTTTACATAAATTTGTTGGTAGCATACGGTGTCTTTGCGACCGCCGCTCGGTCAGAAAAAGCATGCCAGTATCAATTATAATTGATACTGGCATGCTTTTTCTATAATTGATACTGGCAAGCATGCCAGTATCAATTATAATTGATACTGGCATGCTTTTTCTTAATAATTATCAGCCAATATCAGGGTTATGCACGAGTTTCCTTGCTCTGGAGGGTATGTTGCACCGCAACACACAAGTGATGCGGCACAGTATCTGTCCAGGCGCTCGACCGTGCTGCCGTCTATGGGTAGAATTGTAAGGAGCATTGCGCTCTGCATGGGTGTAACTTTGTATACTTTCGAGGTCCCATGTGGGACCCCAATGCGAACATTTGGGACCCCAATTGTCATTTTGGGACCCCAATAGTGGAGGCCCCCGAGACGCATCAGCTACTTTGCAAACGGAGGTCTGATATTCATATAAAAGGTTCTCTGTTTAAATAGGAGGCCCCTTGGACAAATCGGAGGCCCTGTTGGACAAATAGGAGGCCCCCTGAACAAGTAGGAGGCCCCCTGAACAAGCATGGGTGAAACTTTGACATCACCATTGGGGTCCCAAACGTCCAAGGGGGCCTCCATTTAGTGGGGGCCTCCAAGCAATTAGGGGCCTCCAATTGCGGAAGCGGTAATTTACGAGCCACGCCAGGGCCTCCTCTAAGAAATTTTCATTGGGGGACCAGAGGCTCAGAAGCCAAACATGGGGTACCCCCAAATCCAGTTTTCTCGTCGGATTTAGGCCACTTATTTTTCGTCACAGCTCTGATGCCATGATTTTTTTTTTTAATATCGATAAAGAAATGGTAGGTCACCTGACCCTACTGGTGGATCCAGGCCAGCAGGGTGACATTGTATGTAAATATCCCCCGCGGCATCCGAAATCGACGAAAAATTCTGGCTTTTTCACTTTTGACAATAAAACACAATGCCTTTATAATAGAAAAAAAAATTAACGGCACAGCATTGCGCAAGGAATCTAGCCGTAAGCCGACCCCAGAAAGTGTGAGGGTTAACCTTCGCCGGCACCTGGGGGGAGGGTCGCCACCCCCAAGTTAGTTTTTCTGCTCTACACTTAACATTTTTAAAGCTAGAAACCTGATTTTCTTTGTATAGCTGCTTTTCTATCTTTTCTCAGCGTCCATTGAAAATTTCAAGCTTCTGCGGCATTTGGGTTTGGAGATATGACCTTGTTCTTCAGGTCATGTCATGTCCTAAATGACGAATACCCAATATCTTGCGATGGCTATGGGCCTTGTGAGCTTTTGACACGCTG